CCCCCCCCCTTTATTTTCTTTATCAGGTGTAAATTCAAATGGTTTGCCAAGAGTAAGTCAATAAAGTACCATCACACATGTGAGCTCCGAGTTAAACGTGTCTTCAAAAATTGACAAGAGCCAGGGCTGGGGGGTGGTGGTGGAAATAATGTTGCGTTTTTGCAGTGCTGGATGTGAGTGGCTGTAAGGAGGGCCTTTGCCCGGGGGTGGGCAAATCTGTGATCTTAACTGTCTCCTTTCACCCGTCCATTCCTGCACTTGCTCTCCCTGTGGCTTGCACCTTTTTCTCGGGAATTTCTTGGCTGCTTATTTTCCCTGGAGCCCGACTTTCTGTGCAGGATACCAGAAGGTTTGCTCTCAATGCCCAGTATTTCAAAAGGTTACAGAATGGCATGTGGGGGGTAGCTCATGTGTGTGGCAGGGGTTAAGACGTTGACTGAGATCTGTAGTGTTTCTTTTTAGGAAGGTTCTTATTTCTAGAAGTGAATTATCAGCAACTTTCTGCCAATGAGTTGTTGCGTTTGTGTTATTCCAGCCACTGAGTACCACCTCGGCCTGCTGAAGGCAAAGCTTGCAAAATACAGAGCTCAGTTGCTAGAACCCTCCAAATCCTCGGCCGCTAAAGGGGAAGGCTTTGATGTGATGAAATCTGGAGATGCCCGGGTGGCACTGATCGGTTTTCCTTCTGTGGGTAAGGTCAGTGAGTGTCTACGTTAACCACGCGGCATGTGTGTTTCCAGGTTTGTGGTTAGCAGTGGCTGTAAAGCAGATATCCATCTTCTCTTTGTCTTTCACCTTCTTGCCATGAGTGAACCGAAAGTGACTATATGCTGAGAGCTAAAAGTTAGAGCTAGGGGAAACACTCCTTCATCTTGTGTGTGCTGCCCTGTGGTAACAGCCTGAAACTTGTGCTGTGGCTGGGCGAGACCTGCTGACAATATAGGTGAGAGCACAGGATTTACCTTTGTTCAGCGAAAGCGCTGGCTGTCCCATCACAGCTTCAGTCCCTGTGCCCAGAACAGCCACAATGCGACTTCTAAAAGCCGAGGAGCACTTTGGTGTTGCTTGTTTTGCTGAAGATTTACCAGTGCTTCTATTTGTGTAACTATAACGATGCTGATCTCTTGCATTTCAGTCAACGTTTTTGAGTTTAATGACCTCAACTGCCAGCGAAGCTGCGTCTTACGAGTTCACAACCCTGACGTGTATCCCAGGAGTCATAGAAGTAAGTAGGATTTTCCTCCCTTTGGCTTAGTAGTGGTAAGAAACGCAGACGTGTAAATGTGTGGTTTACACCAGTTACACTTGTGCTAGCACTAAGAAGCAGTGATATCCAAAGGTCTCTGCCGACTTCTGCTTTAAACTTTAGGAGGTTGTAAGTGCTTGTGGCATGAGGTCTTCTGCAACCTGCAGTGCTGATTTAGCACTTCCCTCGGCTACATAACTCTTCAGGATTGACTGCCTGAGTGGGGTTTCACATGCTGCCGTTTGACTGACCAGAGCACTACGACAATTCTCAACTGAATTTTTTATAACCGCTGTTGGCGCCATTGACCAGATGGCTGGAAACCTTGACAGATTTGTTTTTAATGAAGCTTTAAAAGAGGCAATCTGTACTGTGATCAATTTGGAAAGAAAATACAACTACTCCTGTCCTTGAGGAGTTTTATTAGCGGTGGCCTAAGCATCCATCAGTAAAGCAAATGATAAAGGGCATCAAACTGAAAAGTGTCCAAGAGTAATGAGAAAATTTGGGTCAGAATTGAAAGCGGAGTTAAATAATGAAAGTAACCGTATTGGTGTTAAAATGAACACAAATATTGTAACGCATCCAAATGCAGCCGTGAGCTGCAGTCACTTGTTAAAGCCGTTATTGAGGACTTCACTGCAACAATAGCTTGAAAGCTAATGCCCCTGCAGATCTGATGAATGAAAGTCTCCTGTTATTTCCTGGCATTGTAAGACCTGCAACACGTCTGAATAGTTCTGATCCATCTCAGTAAGAGCTGGTGGCACCTGTACGTTACAGTGCTTTCTCATTAGACCAAGAAAGTAAGTTTGTGGGTTTGTTTTTTTTCTTTCCTTTCCATTTCACCAACTCAGGATAACGCTACCCTTGTACTGTGCTGTTTTCCTGGTGCTTTGTCGAACTGCAATCATGTGATGCTTCAGGAGGTCGGGACCTAACTTACACATTATGTGGTGTTGAATGTTGAACACAGCTTCAGAGGAAACACTCTGGAGGTTCCCTCAACAAAACAGAGCCATCAGCTTTGTGCAAAGCCGTCCTGCTCAGTCAGTTTCATTCATTTCCACTCTCTGCAGGCTCTGGACCCCAGCACGGGCTTGGGGCTTTTGAGGCAGCTCAGGTGCCCGGCACAAGGCTTTCAGCTTTCCATCCTTCTGTTTCCTTTTCAGTATAAAGGAGCCAATATTCAGCTGCTGGATCTGCCTGGAATCATCGAAGGAGCAGCACAAGGTTGGCTGATCTCTGTTCATGTGAAGTAGGGATTTGCCCTCAGTAGCATACCTGGGTGTGTCAAACGTTAGCAGGTTTCCTGGGCCAATAGTTCCCATGTTGGCTTTCCAAATTTTAGAGTCCTTGATCTTATGTGAGGCACGATTCTTATCCCTGAGCCCACGTAAGGTTCTATATGTAGCAGAAAGATGCTTTTCTGGAGGTGGGAACCAAAGCAAGCCAGTCACTTCTCACCTTCTTGCGTGAGTGTTATCTTGCTCATCTGTTTTCTGGTACAGAAGAAATCTAAAGAAAGATGCTAGAGAGGCGAGGGGGGGAAACTGCAGTTAAACAGTAACCTCTTTTGACTAATTTCCTGAGTTCCTGCCAGTCCTCGCATAACTCCTGATTCTGGGAAGAGGTGTTGGCTTTGTCCCTCTGCTGCTTCATTGTCCAGATTGGCTGGTTGTGTCAGAAGATGCCTTAGGAAACTTTGGAAAACCTCCTAATGGTCTTTTTTGGTTTTTTTTCTTTCTTTTTTTTTTTCTCCTGTGTTGGAGGATCATGGCCTGATTACTAAGGTCTCTTTTTCACCAGAAGGTGTATGTAACCTCTCTGCACAGGCGCCATAGGTCCACATCACTGTTCTGGGTAAGCTGTCCCTGCTGCCCGGAGCTGCTGCCATTGCACGTGTCTGGGGATCTCTGTCCTGCTGGCAGAGGTGTCATTTCCACCCATCCAGCTGTAGTCAGATCGCTTTACACACAAACACTAGTTCATGTAACCTGTGGTGGAGGAGGAGCAGCGAAGAGTATGTTAGGGCTTGTGCTGGACAAAAGACGGTGTGGATGGACCAGATACGCTCGCTCAGGGCGCCCCCAGAAGATGACTACAGCCAGTACAGCACTGCAGGTTCTTTTTCCTTGCTTCCAAGCAGCTGTGCAGGGCAGGAGTCCCCATCTGTCGCAGAGCTCACAGATGGTTTCTCTTGCTGATGTATGGCCATCTCCTCTCTTCTCAGGGAAGGGCAGAGGTCGGCAGGTGATAGCTGTGGCCAGGACAGCAGACGTCGTTATTATGATGCTGGATGCCACGAAGGGTGAAGTACAGAGGTAAGTGTGTGCTTCTGGGCATGTGGAGCTGTGGGGTGGTGGGCCAGGTCCAGGGCTTCCCCATGCCTGGAAGACATGCCAGCTCCCTGCGTGTCCTGCGCTTGTTGGGGAACCAGTATATTACAAACCAACAGTATTTAAGCCGTGTAGTGCGAGATGGAGGTTGTGCTCCGCTAGAAGCACGCTACCTAAGTGGGAGCACCATTTACAGAGCTCGCTACAGATCTCCACTTGGGCTTCTCAGCTGAAGGATCATTCCTACAGGATGGCTGTTCAGAGACAGGGATGTCAATCTAGATTTCCAGCACAGACTCTGTCCTGCATTAGCTGTGGTTTCTAGATTGTAGTGAAAGTTTATGGCAAGGTTGTATCAATATGATAGCCAAAAAGGAAAGGTATGTGTGTGACCTGACTGCGCTCGGTCTCACAGGTAATGTGCAGTGTCCTTGCAGGGCCCTGCTGGAGAAAGAACTGGAATCTGTAGGGATACGGCTGAACAAAAGCAAACCAAATATCTACTTCAAGGTGAGGTTTCCTGGGCTGCTGCAAGCACAGCTTATGTCTGGCTGCCTACTCAAAGCCGAGTTCGCTGTGTGCTGTTCCTCGTGTTGGACAGACTGTAGGGGGGGTCATGGATTTTGCAGACCGTTCTTATGTTGCCTTATTGCCTCCCTGCAGCCGAAGAAGGGTGGAGGTATCTCCTTCAACTCAACTGTGACGTTGACTCAGTGCTCTGAGAAGTTGGTGCAGCTCATCCTCCATGAATATAGTATCCTTTCCTAAAACGGGAGACCCTTAAGCCATCAGCAGCTCATGAATTAAGTGGTACCTACTGTGGGACAGCCTTGCTGTGTCTTTGGTGCTTTCTGGGTTGAGAATAGGCTTTCACAAGCAAGCTCAGCACGTTGGCTCACAGCAATGTGTAGATGTGTTGGGATTTGGGCCTTGACGATGTTCACCTCAGAAATCTTCAATGCTGAGGTCCTCTTCAGAGAGGATTGTTCCCCTGATGAGTTCATTGACGTGATTGTAGGCAACAGGGTCTACATGCCGTGCCTCTACGTGAGTATCTCAGAAACAGGCTGCCTTCTGCCACACCAGGCAGCTCCATTCTTTGCTGAAGGAAACTCTGGGTCTTCCTGGTTCCTAAAGCAGTAGTGATTTGGGGTTTAAGAGGTGGAAAGCACAGCTCAACAGGGAGCTTTTTATAAGCTTTACTTGTGCGGCTGTGCTCTGTGTGTGTTCCCTGTGCCCTCTTGTGGCTGGCTGCTGTGGAGCAGGACGAGCTGCGTGTCCTGGTGGCACGGGGTTTGCTCCTACAGCGCGGAGCTGTCGATTCCTGTGCTGTAAACTCTGTGCTTGTTTTTTTGGTACTGGTCCTTTGTGCCAGAGGTCACTTAATAGCTCTATTTGATAGTGACTGGGTCTGTAGTGAAATTCAAGATGCTGGAGAACGTGTTGCAAGTCATCCCAAAGGGAGACTTTTTAAAATGCCCAAACTTACATTTAGCCTTCTGAATTTTGACAGTTTATTTTACTAAGAGGCTTGGCCTGCCCTGTGGCTGACAGGATCTGAGTTTCTGTTTCAGATGCTAGAACTACCTTGTTGTACCTACACGTACATGTCTTAATTTCCTTGCAGTGTTGCTAAAATAAGTTCCTAAAGGGTGTGTTGTTTTTCCTTTGACTTAGGTTTATAACAAGATTGACCAGATATCTATGGAGGAAGTGGATCGTCTTGCTCGGAGACCCCACAGTGTTGTAATCAGGTAGGAACCTGTCGCGCTGCCTGATGTACCGGCCTGGGTGGTGTGGTGGTTCTTTTCATACCCCTTTCTCCAGCTTCTCCCAAGAAGGGGCTTCTCCCAAGAAGGGGCTTCTCCCAAGAAGGGGCTTCTCCCAGGCCTGCCTGCAGCTGCCAGCATGAGAAGCAGAGCTGCTGTGCAGCTTTTTCCAGGCTCCCTTCCCCTGGAGAGACAGGGTGCTTGGCTTCTCCACGCTGTCTGCGGGCCAGAGTAAGCCAGGCTAGCTTCTTTCCTTAGAAGTGCTGATATATCTGATTGGGACTCTGCTGCTTCAAAGCTTCTTGCCCTTTTGAGAGCTGTATTTATTTCACCGTCTGTTTTTCCTTTGCTGGCCTCATTAAAGACTCTTCCCCTTGTTCCCTAGCACTTCAATAAGATGTTTGACCTTGTCCTTCTGGATCTCTAAATCACAACAGCAGTAAACACATAGATGTTCCTGGTGTTTTGCAGCTGTGGCATGAAACTGAACCTGGACTACTTGCTGGAGAAGCTCTGGGAATACCTGGCACTTACCTGCATCTACACCAAGAAACGAGGACGTAAGTGACCATTAGCTGAACAGAAGTTTTGAAAGGCACAAAGAGCTGCTGCTCATCAAAGGCAGACAGGCTGCCAGCAGGGCTTGGACGCTCAGCTGTCAGTGATCTCTTGTGGTTTGAAATGCTGCAATTATGCTTTCCCTAACCAGCTTTCAGCTCCTGGGAAGTGCTTTCTGTTCCACCTGATCCAGCCATGTGTGTATCCCACCACAGCCCTCCTCTTCTCTCTGCACTAGAAGAGCTGAATTTTCATAAGGCTTTGCGTGGTGATATAAGGAAACAAAGTTGGCAAACTTCCTTATTGTGCACACTCTGTGATGCACTCCTCAGCCCATCGCTACCCAGAAGAGGTCTCCTCTTCCCGCTCTCAGAGGTTTGGCGATTTCCCATGCCAGGCTTCTGAGGCTCGGGAGTGCCTTTGATCCTCCTTTTGCTTTATAATTCGCTTGCAGCTTCTCCCAGTGCGGAAGGCACATCTGTAACTTGTTCCTGTTTGTTTGTGAACAGCTGTGACTCTGAACTTGGGTGGGTGTGTGACAAGATTAAGGAACTTTCTGTGAGCTTGTTAAGATATAAAGTCTTGGGGATTTTACAGAAAATTGCAGTGTGGTTTGGTTTTACTTGAGCAGGTGTGTTTTGACTTGGGTGGTTTTGTTTGTCCTAAGTCAAGTATGAACTGATGGTGGTGTCAAGTACCCAGATACCTGTTCTGTCTGGGAGCTGGCAAGTGTAATGGGAGGAGGAATTTGGGAGTAGTAAACACAAAGCAATGTGAAATGATGTTAGCATGTTAGAAAACACTTGATGGAAATCCAATACTTTCCCCCACTTCTCTCCTGCTTCTCCACAGAGAGACCAGACTTTACAGATGCCATTATTCTACGGAAAGGGGCCTCTGTGGAGCATGTGGTAATTTCTCTGTATCTTTTACGTTTCCTTGTCTGTAGAACGCAGATTCCTCTTGGAGCCTGCTGTGATTTGTGCTTCGTAAAGCTTGGGATATGTCGGTGTTTAGTTGGGCTTCTCCTTTTGTTACCTTTACTGATTCCACCTGCCTCAGGTTTCTTTCCTAGCTGCTATGAAAGGTTAAAAATAGATTACTTAATACAGTCCAGTGAAGAAGCACATGGAAGCAGTGGAAAGGGGCTTTCTGTGGACTGGTGATTCCTCTTTGTCTGTTCTGTATTCTTTCAAGTGCTGTTTACTGGCTTCTAAAGTCGCTATTGTAATTTCTGACACAGACCTGAGTTGCTTCTCGTTCCTGGATAGTGAGCAAGTTGTTTGCAAAGTAGTGTCATTGCACTGCCTCACATGCTGTCTGTCTGTCTTGCAGTGCCATCGAATTCACAGATCATTAGCCAGCCAGTTCAAGTATGCCTTGGTGTGGGTAAGTGTTTAACAGCAAATGAAATCACTGTCATCAGGTGTCTCTGACTGGTCTTCTCCTAACCCTTCTCTCCCTTTTGCTTTGAAGGGGACAAGCACAAAATACAGCCCGCAAAGAGTGGGCTTGACCCATATGATGGAGCATGAAGATGTCATCCAGATCGTAAAGAAGTAACCCTCTTTGCTGGTGCCTGGCCTTGTCTTTAATCACTAGAATTGGAACTGACCACATAAAAGCAAAACTAAACACAAAAAAAAAGAAAAAAAAAAAAAAAGAAAAAGGGAGACGTGTTCTACAGCCAAGAAAGCTTCTGTGAAGCTCCTTCTCTTGGAGAAAGGCAAAAACTGAGGCTACTGTACTTGCAGGTGGGGATGGGGAAGATGGGTTTCCATCTTGCAGCATTTCAGGCGATGTAATGTTTCTTAAAAATAAAAAAGGAGCCAGTTCTAGGACACAGTTCCCACAGACAGCAGTGTCCTGCCCCTAGTAGGGTTTGCTCATGGATCTGTGTTAACCTGCCAGTGGCTTGCTTAACTGGAGGGAAGTTTATGGGTTTGTGTGAACAAATCTGGCCCTGTGCTTTGGGATGGGGAAGCCGGGGCTGAGAGAACATTGCTGATGCTTTGCTACTTATCCATTCACTTAATTTAAGCATTGATCTGAAACAGAAACAAAGTTCTCCCTCCGCTGCTTATTGGACACTTTGTCTCTGCAGCTTTCACCGTTGGAGGCTTCAGTCTCTGCGTCTGAGACAACCCCTGGTGGATTTATAATGGTCCCACCTCAATTAACATTAAAACGTGGCCCTCTGTGCCTCCCCTTAGCTCTGCAGTAGGGTTTGTAGGACATCCCAGTCCAACTGGTACTGAGAGAGATGAGAAATGAAACCTTGTTAACGAATGATTAACCTGGCCAAACTGCAGCAGGGTACGATCAAAGAGCCATAGTCTGCAGCGAAGATTCACTTCTCGCATATCACTCGTCTGAGGAGCTGTCTTGGGAGTTTCCTCCTTTGCTCTTGTCCTGCTTGTTAGTCCCCAAGAGTATTCCTGGGGATCTGCTTCTCGATGCCCCTCAATTCCTGTATCAGCTCTTTGAGCTCAAAGTACCATCCCATGCCACGGGTTTTACCCCAGCCCTGTTAAATGTTGTTGCTTGTCTGGATATTTTTCATCAGAAAACTGGGATTTTTCTAATCATGCTTTTTCATTGAATCCTGATGCTAAACAATTCAGAGTGCCTGATAGAGAACAGCTCTTTCCTTCTGGGATCAAGAGTTGCCGATAGCTTTTATTTTCTTTCATTGAAAAAGGGTTCGGTCTGATGTGGATTCTTAACTGTGAGGACAGGTCTGATCGCAAACTTGTCTGAGCAGGGCTCCTTCCCTCTCCTTTGTGCTCCTCCCCACCCCTCACAAACTGATCGAGCAGAAATGGAAGGATTATTTTATTTGAGAAAATAAAAGTTGCTATTTCATGTGAACTGTAGGTGTCTGCCTGCAGTGGGTAGACAGTTTGGTGTGTTTTCTAACTTATTTTTTGCCTTTGGCCACCTGAGGAATCCTGGATGCTGTTGCGGGAAGTTGTAGAGGGGGGGAATAGATTGTGAAGCTGCTGTAAGAGGGCTCTGAGGCTGGAGGGGACTTGACGAGGTGTGATGGGAGATAAATAGATATTATACACCATACCCAAGCTAAGAAGGTGACTTTGAACTCTGTAAGTTCCCTTTCCTGTCCCTGGCTTTGTTCACAGCTGGAGTGCAGAGCAAATCCCGACCGCAGTGACAGCTAGCGGAGAATGAGCTCCAAATTAGCCGCGTTATGCCGGAGCTGGCTGGAGAAAGCAGGCGCTTCTCTGTGTGAATTGGGTGGGATGCCGTTCCAGCGCATTAACTTGCCCTTTAAATTTCCCGTGAAGGTTGCACAGGCAGAGCTGCCCGCGCAAAGAATTCTTTTTGGTTTCGTTTCGTCCCTTGAGTTTCTGACTTTTCGCTCCAAACCCGGGAGCCTGCCAAGCCCCGGCACGCCAACGGGCAGCCAGAACTGCTGACGGGGCTTTGTCCTTAGGGCAGGTAGTGTGTGGAGTTGGGGATGCTGACCTGAGGCTGAAACGCACGGTATTGCCTGCGAAAGCATGTCCTTGGTCGGTTAGTGCCTACCTCTCGGTGTGCGCGGGTTTCAAGATCACTAGTCTAGCGTGCCATCATTAAAAAACCCTCTGTCTAATTAGCCTTACTCTTCATGTAGGAAATTGGGCGTTTTATCCTGTTCAAAATGAACTGATACATCACTAAATTAGGAATGGGGATGAAGTAAAAATAGTTAAGCCAGAAGAAGCTAACTTCTTTTTTCCTAGTGGGAGTAGCTCTTTTTTTTGCAAGCAAGTTTATAGCTGTATCTGATAATGCATGCGTTTAATTGCAGTGTTCATTCTTCCAGACGGCTTCCCTAATTGTTCTGCGCTAACGTAATAAGCTGCAAACATTGCAGTTCGGTGCAGGAGCGGCTTTGCCTGAAGATCTCTCCAAATCCTGAGAAAGCAAGGTCCTAAGGTTGGGGGAAAATCTACTGCAGCACTAGTATCGTACTGGAGCTTCCTGAGGTTTATGGAATTGGCCAGAGCCCTCGCTAGCTCCGTGGAGCTAACATGGAGGAGCTCCCTTAGCTCCGTGGAGGAGCTAACGAAGGGAGATGTGTTCCGAGCTTCCTTGCTGAGTGTTTTTGGAGAAATGCTTTCTTCTGTGTGGGAGGACGGGGGGCGGTTGCAAGTCGGAGCTGTGGGTTTGCCCCCCTCGAAAAGCAGCACGCCGCGTTTTCTCGGCTGTACGAGGGAAGGCTCGGCTGGACGATGCTCAGAGAACCCCCGCCCTGCAGCAAGGCTGGCTGGGGGGCTGCTCTTCTGCGCTGCAGCCCCCCGCCATTCCTCTGCTCTCTCAGCCGCCTCTGGCTTCATTAGCGCCGTACCTGGCTCCCGGAGGGCTGCACCCATCCTGCCCTGTCCCTGTGCCGTGCTGGCGGAGCGCAGCCGTGCATCGCTGCTGAGCGGCGCTCCAGGTGTGAAGCGGGGTGGATCGGCTTCGCTACAGTCCATCAGCCGCCCTCCATCTAGTCCTGGAAACAGCGATGGCCCGAGGCGTGCTCTGTTTAAAATGCCTGTTCCAGGCAATCAAGCAGGTTTGATTGGCTGAACACTCCTTTTATAATTTAATTTAGTCAGGAATCGTTTGCAAAGTAATAAAAAGAGACTCTGACTCCAAATACATTCATTTAATTCAATGAGAGACAGTTACCGCGGCGGGCTCGCCTCAGCCAGCTTCCCTCAGCCCATCACGCTGACATCTTAAAGCGCTGCTCAGGGCTGTATATAAGAGTCACGATCCACAGTGACAGCTTAATTGTTTCAAACGCTGACAAGGGTCACCCCAACCAGGCATCGCGCATTGTGCGGGGCTGGCTGGGGAGGCTGCGGCGAGGAGGATTTATGGCTGGCAAATAGTTTTGAATTCCTCTGGTTGCGCCTGCTAAATGATGAACCTGCCCCTTGGGGATTGGGGCTATTGATTGTAATTTGCAGTTAAGCCCTCGCTTTCTGAGGAATCAGCATAATAAATACCAACCGCATTACGGCAGGGACGTGTCTGCGCGGAGGAGAAAGGAGCAGAGCTTTTCCCAGCTCAGGCGGTGCAGCGCGGGATGCTCTCGCTGCCCCTGGGTTTGGGAGAGCCGCGGGAAAATGGTCCCCAGTTTGGTGTGATGCAGGAACCCAGTGCTGGAGGAGGGGAGGATGGAGCTCTGGGGCTCTTTGCCCTGCTGATCCCAGATGCTTTGTGAAGGCGGGTGGAAATGCGCTGCTTGTCCCGAGGAGGAAAGGGCAGGCCAGTATTTGTTGGGGTGATGGGTGTCTGGATCCCTTCTCTGTGGGCAGCCAGTTGGTCCCAGCTCTACTTTGGAGAGGGGTGATGATGGAGGGGGGGTGTGTCCACCACCACGTCCCTGTGATTTCTTCTGCTAAACTTGCCTTGGGGAGAGGAATGCGTCAGGGCCATTTACCGGCTGTTCACATCTGGGGTCTGCGAGACTGAGAGGTGGTGCAGATCTACGCCCCGGGAGGGAAGGGGCTGCGGGACTGTCCAGCCATGTCACCGGGGGAGGAAGGGACGAGGACCAGATCTGGCTGCCCCCTCACCCCTCCAGCCTCTCCCTCCCTGGCGCTCCCCAGCTCCGCAGAGGGAAGATTAGCTCCCATCCCTCCGCTCATGAGTAGAGATGAGAATAATAGCAGTCATCAAATATGCATTGGATAGCAGCAGCCTGCAGCTGCCGTGCAGCAAATATGGTCCTGCGGCTGCCGGGGGAGTGACGGTCCCTGGTGGAGAGCAAGACCAAGAGCACGACGCCGGCAGAGCCGGGGGCTTCGGGACAGCACCGAGGTGGCCCGGTGCCATGCAGGCGAGCTAGGCTACCCCAGGTGAGTGGCTGTGTGTCCCCGAGCCGGGTGGCACGTCCCTTGGGGTCGTGGAGGCCACAATGGGAAGGACCAGGGAGGGACCTTTGTGTGCTGTGTTGGTCCTTCTGCAAATGCTGTGGTGTGGGGCTCAGCTCCTCTGGGTAAGGGCATGTGGTGTCACGTCCTCTCTGGTTGTCCCTGCCTGTCTGCTCGCTGCCTTTAGCCCCCCTTATCTCACCTTCTGCCTCCCACCTTCCCTGCAGTCCCAGTGTTCCTGCTGCCCTCCAGAGCCGACCTTCCTCCCCTAAACACCCCCTTCTTCCCCAGGAGCCTCTGCCCTGTGTCTCCTACCACTCCTTCCCCAAATTCCTTTTACCTCGGGGCTGTTTTACCCCAGGAAAGCTGCCTGGCCCCGCAGCTGAGCTCTGTGGGGCTCCTGGGCTGAGCTCCGGGACCAAGACCATGGCACTGGGCTGTGACCTGGCTCCGAGGTCGCCAGCCGGCGTTCCTGGGTCCATGCCAGCGCTAAACCCAGGACACCTCGCACCCAGCTGGTATCTGCTTCCAGCATCTGCTCCAGCCTCTCTCCTCCCGATAACACCTCCCTCACGGGCAGCTCTTGGTGTTGCGTGGCAGCCGGCAGGCAGGGACGTGGTGTACATCCCCCGGGAGATGCTCCCCCGTCCTCAGTTTGGGGGAGAGAACTGGAGGGGGTAAAAATCAGCCGCCAGTTGAGGGGTGTGATGGAATGGCAAGGAGAGACACCCCCCCCCGGGGCTTGGAGGACCCTGCTGCTCTCATATCCCTCATTGCTGGAAGGGTCCAGCCTGGGGTGCTCCCGGCATCCCTGGGGCTCTTAGCTGGAGCAACGGGAGATGTGGCAGGGCTGCCCCACCTCCGCATGGGTGTTTAAAAGTGGATGCACAACGATACAGAACTGATGACAGGGAAGAAGATGTGATGAGAGATGCCCTGGCTGGGAGGTGCATGGCCAGCTGGGCTGGCTCCATGGGGCCGAGGTGTGGTGGGGCTGGTGCGGCATGGTGTGGTGGGACTGGCGTGGCACGGGGCCCTGCTGTAACTGGAAACAGGCTGTAAGCAGACCCGGGGCGACCTGCCTGGAGACGGCGGAGCTGCTGCCCCGGGAGCTCTGCCCTGCCGATGCCGGTGCTCCAAAGGTACAGTCCTGGGCGGCCGCGCGTCGTGCCGGGCTGGGGCGGGCAAAGCAGAACTTCGGTGGCCAAAGCCTCCCTCCTCTTTCTGCACCCAGCCCTGGGCTGCGGTGGTGGGACAGGCGCTGCCCTGAAAGCGAGGTGGCTTTCTCTGGCTCAGCCATGTGGCTGGAGCCGTTCAGGGGTGGTGGGGTCAGAGGACGCTCTGGGCATCTTCTCCCAGAGCCCTGGTCCCCATCGCCACTAGGTTTTTCACCCAGGGTCCCTCTCCTGTCCCGCTGCTGGATGCGGCCATGCCCAGACACCCTGGAAACAGCCGCCAAGTGTCGGTGCCCCACGGTTTGGGGTTCATGGCCGTGGGTTCCCCCTCCGACCCCCAGCATCTCTCACCATCCCGCTGTGCCTGGCCACAAACATCCCTTCCCCGGCTCTGCTGTGCCAAAGGCGGGTGGTGAACACTGTGCCCATGGGTGAAGGAGGTGGGAGGGTGTCCAGTATGGGGCTGGGACTGTGGAAGGCAGCCTCCTGTGTGGGGTGAAGCCAGCTGGGCTGAGGTCAGGCTGCCCGCTCTCTCTTGCTCTCCCTTCCTCCGTGTCTCCTCTTGGAGAGCCCTTATCGTGGGCAGGCACCACGGGCACAGCCGTGGCAACGGCATGGGGAGCCCTGCCAGCACCACTGGTCCCTCCTCTGCCCTGCCCGGCTCAGCCGAGGGTGGTGGGGACAGGTAGGGACCACCGAGGGGAGTGGGATGGAGGTGGGAACCTGCAGCAGCTTCTTGCCAGCCAGGTATCCCCTCACTGTCCGTCAGCAGCCGAGGAAGGAGCTGTGTCCATGGTGGTTCCGTGTCACGTCGTAGTGCCGAGGTGTCGCTCCGTGTACCAGGAGGAGGGATGGTGCGGTGGTGTGCGCAGGGCAGGCTCCGTCAGCCCCATACGGCACGGTGGCAATGGCAGATGTGTGTGTGGACCATGCCAGCGCCATGGCGGGGGTCCTGAGAGGTGATGCTCCCCGTGGGTTGGTCTCTGCTGACGCTCTTTCCTACTGATCCTGTGTTTGTGTCACCCCATAGACCCTCTCCTGGTACCTGCTGGGTTCCTCCCCTCCTGCCCTGTCCCTCTGTTCTCCCTGCAGCTCCAGGGCAACCTCCCTCTGTGCAGACTCCACCAGGGTGTCTCCAGCCCAGAAATTAGTGCAGGGGGGCCGCCAAAGCCATCAGGTCACAGCTGACACCCTTTCCACTGCCAATGTGGCAGGCAGGGACCGGGCTGGGGAGAAGACAGAGCTGTGAGGTGCCACCCGTGGGGGTCTCCTGGTCCAGGAAGGGGGCGGGTAATGGGTTCAGTCCAGCGACTGCTCCTGGTTCTTGAGTTCCCCCAGCTGCTGCACAGCTGGATGCTGATGCTGCTCCTCCTCTGGGTCTCCCCAAATGCACCCTGCGAAGGGGTGGAGTAGGTGCTGCCCCTGCACGGACAGATCCCGCTGCTGTCGGCAGGAGATGGTGCAGGACAGCAAGTTTCCCACCGCCGCTGCTTAAACTTTCATGAACCCGCAGTCGCAGGGATCCAGCCCTGGCATTAACATTTGATGTGGTCACCCCGCGTCTGGGCACGTGCGTGCGCAAACACCTCCGGCGCTGCCGCGGGGCACACGTGTGGCACACGCAAACCCCCTCGCCAGCTGCATGTGGGCATGCATAGCACCCTGCATGCGCCCGCAACGTACGTGGCACAGCGTGGGGGGTCCCCCCGTGGGCTCCTCGCTCCTCTCTGCTTTCCAGCAGGGCTGTGGGATTTGGGCTGGTGTTGGGTTCCTCCTCCGCAGTGCTCCCCTTCGCTGTGATCCCGGTGCCGGGGCGGCGCGTGCCTTAGGACCTGCAAAATTGTCTCCTCTCTTTCGGTGCCGCCGTTTGGCTTTGCGGGGTCAAATGGATCCCTGTGCTGCATCCTCCTCCGTGCTGGCCGGAGGAAGAGGCTGATTCCCCGGGGAGGTCTGAGGTGTGGGGAGGTGGCAGGGTCCAGTTTTGGGGTGGTGATGGTACTCTGTGCTGTCCCCTGCAGCGCCCCGCCAGGGGATGCTCCCTGCCAGGGGGTCCAGGCGCTCTCCTGCACCCACCGCGGGGGCCCTTTTCTGCTCCTTCGGAAAAGTCTCATGGCTGGAGTGGCGCATCCCTTACATTATTCATGCCGCTGCGAGCCCCGGCGGTTGGGTTACAGCCGGAGCTGAGCCGCCAGCACCGTGCTGCCTAACTCGCGGGGTGCCGCGGGAGGCAGGAGGCAGCTCCCGCCGGGCTGCACCGGGGCTGCCGTCCCACCGCCCCAGCGCCATGCCAAGCAGGGGGCCACCGGCGGCCAAGGGAGCCACGCACAGGCACGTGCCTTGCCGAAACCAGGTACAGGTAAATACCCCTCCAGGGCAGGCTGTGGGTTTGGGAGCCGGACGGTGTGCCGGGAGCCGCCTTGTGCCGGCGTGGGGCATCATCTCCCAGGGCCCCGCCGGGGCCAGAGCATGAGCACTCACCACCGCCAGGATGGTCGGCAAGAAGGGGGAGCCCAAAAAGGATGCAGAGGCCAAAGGGAAGGGGGGCAAAGGGAAAGGGAAGGATGGCAAGAAGGGCAAGAAGGATGCGCCCAGCGAGTCGGAGGAGACCTCGGACACGGAGCTGCTGAAGGCAGAGGAGAGCGAGGAGACGGAGGTGGTGGAGGAGGAGAAGGAGAAAGAGAAGGATGAGGAGGAGGTGGAGGTGGAGGCTGTGGAGGAGCCCAAGAAGGGGAAGGGGAAGAAGGGAATGCTCAAGGGGGTGGTGGTGGCGAAGAAGCCGGGCCGGGGAAAGAAGGTGCAGCTGGAGCCAGAGGAGGAAGAGGGTGAGAGTGATGCTGCACCGGCCAAGAAGAACCTGAAGGGCACCTCCAAGCTAGTGATGGGGCTGGCAGCTGACAATGCCAAGAAGAAGAAAGGGGCCAAGGGCGCGGAGGCCAAGCGCCAGCCCAAAGAATCCGTGGAGCCTGCCCCAGCTGAGGAGGAGGAGGCAGCAGCGGCACCGAAGGCCCGGGTGAAGCGGAGCCTCCGCAGTACCTCCAAGCTCTTCCTGGGCTTCAAGAAGCTGGGGCTGCGGCGGCCCAAGAAGGGGCAGTTCAAGAACACATCCCGCTTCTTCTGGGGGCTACAGAAGCACAGCACCAAGAGGAAAAAGAAGAAGAAGAACAAGGCGGTACTCAAGTCCACCTCCAACCTGATGGTCCGCTTCAAGCGTGTGGGCAAGAAGAGGAAGGAGGCAGCCAACAGCTCCCCGCCGGCGAAGCCGTCCTTCCTGCTGCTGCGACGGGGCGGGCAGGTGGCCGAGGACCGCGCG